CCAATTTGTCTAGGTCCCTCTGTATCCTATCCCTGCCCTCCAGCGTATCTACCACTCCTCCCAGTTTAGTATCATCCGCAAGTTTTCTGAGAGTGCAATCCACACCATCCTCCAGATCATTTATGAAGATATTGAACAAAACCGGCCCCAGGACTGACCCCTGGGGCACTCCACTTGACACCGGCTGCCAACTAGACATGGATCCATTGATCACTACCTGTTGAGCCCGACAATCTAGCCAACTTTCTACCCACCTTATAGTGCATTCATCCAGCCCATACTTCTTTAACTTGCTGACAAGAATACTGTGGGAGACAGTGTCAAAAGCTTTGCTAAAGTCAAGAAACAATACATCCACTGCTTTCCCTTCATCCACAGAACCAGTAATCTCATCATAGAAGGCGATTAGATTAGTCAGGCATGACCTTCCCTTGGTGAATCCATGCTGACTGTTTCTGATCACTTTCCTCTCATGTAAGTGCTTCAGGATTGATTCTTTGAGGACCTGCTCCATGATTTTTCCAGGGACTGAAGTGAGGCTGACTGGCCTGTAGTTCCCAGGATCCTCCTTCTTCCCTTTTTTAAAGATTGGCACTACATTAGCCTTTTTCCAGTCATCCGGGACTTCCCTCGTTCGCCACGAGTTTTCAAAGATAATGGCCAATGGCTCTGCAATCACAGCCGCCAGTTCCTTTAGCACTCTCGGATGCAACTCGTCCGGCCCCATGGACTTGTGCACGTCCAGCTTTTCTAAATAGTCCCTAACCACCTCTTTCTCCACGGAGGGCTGGCCATCTGTTCCCCATGTTGTGCTGCCCAGTGCAGTATCTGGGAGCTGACCTAGTTAGTGAAGACAGAGGCAAAAAAAGCATTGAGTACTTTAGCTTTTTCCACATCCTCTGTCACTAGGTTGCCTCCCTCATTCATTAAGGGGCGCACACTTTCCTTGGCTTTCTTCTTGTTGCCAACATGCCTGAAGAAACCCTTCTTGTTACTCTTAACATCTCTCGCTAGCTGCAGCTCCAGGTGCGATTTGTCCCTCCTGATTTCATTCCTACATGCCCGAGCAATATTTTTATACTCTTCCCTGGTCATATGTCCAACCTTCCACTTCTTGTAAGCTTCTTTTTTATGTTTAAGATCTGCTAGGATTTCACCGTTAAGCCAAGCTGGTCGCCTGCCATATTTACTATTCTTTCGACACATCGGGGTGGTTTGTCTCTGTAACCTCAACAGGGATTCCTTGAAATACAGCCAGCTCTCCTGGACTCTTTTCCCCTTCATGTTAGTCCCCCAGGGGATCCTACCCATCGGTTCCCTGAGGGAGTCGAAGTCTGCTTTCCTGAAGTCCAGGGTCCATATCCTGCTGCTTACCTTTCTTCCCTGTGTCAGGATCCTGAACTCAACCAACTCATGGTCACTGCCTCCCAGATTCCCATCCACTTTTGCTTCCCCTACTAATTCTTAATAACTATATACTTCATACTTAAATATCTGAGCCATCTTATCCGGGGCTACACATTTTATACACACTGGCTCTCAGGGACTATATTGTCTGGCATATTCTGAACAGTGCTGGGCACACAGATGGTGCCCAGTGAATAATAGAAATCATGACAATAGTCATTGACTTTATGGACTCTGTGGGTGTAATTTCTGTTCTTTGTTCTGGAATTGGCCTGGATATAGCTGAAACGCTAAAAATTTGAGGCATAAACACATCTGATACTTATGACACTTTCTGATTCTTTCCGTTTCTCAAACCTAGAACAAAAAATGACAAAACAAAATGGTTTTCAGTTAAAATGTAAAATTGCATAGCAGCCATTGCTCTACAACCCAGCATGGGGCAGAACCTGCCACCCCTTTGGAGTTAAGCAGTTTCCTCTCATCTGATTCTCATTCTCCATCCTTTCTGACTTTTGTGCTGATTTTCATGCTGTCAACCATGACCTCCATCCCAATCTCCTGGGACCGTTTGCTGGAGTCTCAGAGAACTGGCCACCTTGGTTTTGCTCCCATCTATCAGGTTCCTCTCTTTTTGCAGCATGCAGCAGAGAGAGCAGCTGGTCTACTGGATAGGGAACTGGTCCTGAAAGACCTGAGTTCTACTCCTCCCCATGGACTTTCTGTATGACCTCAGGCCGGTGCCTTAGGGACAGAGTTTCAAGGGTTTTTAGGCACCCAAAGATGCTGCTAGGTATCTAGTGGAGTTTACAAAGCATGTAACTTTCTAGGTGCTTTTGAAAATCTCACTAGGTGCCTAAATACTTTTGAAAATCTGGCCTTTAGTTTGTGTGTGCCTCAGTGCCCCACCTGTAGAATGGTGATAACAGCACTGCTCTACCTCACCGAGGGGCTGTGAGGAGAAATAGGTTAGACCTTGTGAGGCGCTCAGATACTATGGTGCTGGGGCCGCATAAGTACCCACAGGTAGAGTGGGAACTTCTCTGTACCACTTCTATCCCTTCCCTGGGTTTTTGCCCCTTCTTTTCACCTACACCTCCAAACCTCCCCCTTTTCTGAATGTAACCTTGGCTTAGAGGGCTTGGCTGTATTTTTTCTGAGTCCCCTGCGTTGGCTCTAAAACACGCACCCCCACCCTGGGATTCCTGTTTTACAGGCTAGATTTTCAGATCTTTAATCACCAGCCCTTTCTTACCTTAATCACCCTGCCTCTGTTTGTAAAGAAAATACTGACTCCCTGCCCCAGGGGCATCTCTCCTCTGCAGTACGTACATTTCACACTAATGTTGTGCTGTAGTTAAGAGCTCCACCTGGGAGCTCACACACCTCCTGTAGGAAACTCGGGATGGGGGGCTCTCCTCCTGCTCTCCCCTGCCCCCCAGTTGGCACCCCTGCTGAGGTATCTGTATACCTGTGATGGTTCTTGGGATACCCAGGACTGTGGGTCACCTTGTTACCCCCTGCCTCCAGCAACAGTGAGTCTTTCTTGTGTTAGCTGGGTGTGTCAGCTCCCTGACACTGCTAGGCTTTCAGTCACTTAAGTACTATCCTCCGGAGCCACATGTGGCTCTTCAGAAGTTAAAATGTGGCTTCTTGTCTAGGCACTGACTCCTGGGCTGGAGCTACAGGCGCCAACTTTCCAATGGGCTGGGGGGTGCTCACTGCTCAACCCCTGGCTCTGCCACAGGCCCTGCCCCAACTCCACCCCTTCCCACCCCCTCCCCTGAGCCTGCCATGCCTTGGCTCCTTCCCCTCCCCCCCCAGAGCCTCCTGCACGCCACGAAACAGCTGATCGGGAGGTGCAGGGAGGGAGGGAGGGGGAGGCACTGATTGGCAGGGCTGCTGGTGGGCGGGAGGTGCTGGGAGCGGGGTGGGGAGCTGATGTGGGTGGGGCTGCTGACATATTACTGTGGCTCTTTGGTAATGTACATTGGTAAATTCTGGCTCCTTCTCAGGCTCAGGTTGGCTACCACTGCTCTGGGCTATGCTAGCCCTAACTTCACCTTGCAGGTTAACAGTGAGTACACCCCAGTCCCTCTGACATTGCTACTCCCAAAAATTCCAGATCCTTGCCTCCAAGAAGTAGGTACTTCAGTTTGCCAGTTTTATCTTTAATCACTGCTTCTGTAACCGCACAGCACTTGTGAGCACTTACAATAAAACAAAATAAGATTTATTTAAGACAGTATAAGAATTTAACTAGGAACGAGAGCGTGGTAGAAAAGTAGATTTCCCTCCAAAATTCAGTCTGTGGCAGAGCTGGCTGGTTTCTCAAGAACGAGGATCCAAATGTTCATGAAAGCAGCCCTGCTCTATAAGGGGTTTTTCTCAGCGAATGGATACAGAGTCCTCTCCCTCCCATATGTTATACTGAAAACAGCCTTTTGTTTCTATTTATAGATCGAGCAACCCACAGTCTTGGTTAAAGTTTTATTTTTTTTTAACTCTTTAAGTGGTTTCAGTTGTTGTTTGTTACCTCTGATGGTTTCCCATTCACAGTCTTAGTACTGCACAAGGCTAAACAATTGAACCTTAAATTGCATCACTGGCCAAACAGGGAGTGGTGACAACTTCTCTTTGCTCGAATGGGCTATCACCAAGACACATTATCTCCTGGTGTTTGTACTCCAGGTCCATAAAGCAAACTTTCAAAATAAATACGTTATTCCTTAAATATTACCCATACATGCATCTCACAATAATTATGAATCTTGACAAGTTACGAGCGTTCTGTAGATACCTTATATGTTACTATTTATGGATAAATATCTCTTAAGACATGTTTGGCATAGTGAGTTTGTCAGCTCTGAGATGAGAGATGTTTGCAAAGAACAGGGGACCCTTTTGAGACATTACCCAGGGTACGATCTGGACTGATGGATAGCTGTGTCCCCTCAATTCTGCAGCCTTTTACCCTGCTTCACTGTGAAAATAACCAGTCCAAGTCTGCTCTCACGCAGCCTCCAGCATGTAAATCACTCCCTGCTATATTCCATGAGTCCTATAGAATTACACTACAAGGCAACACCAGCAAACTTTCAGTTCCAGATTTCCTCCAGAAACGTGTGTCTTGTATTGCCCAGCACCCTCCTGGATGATAGGAGCTCATATCAGGTCTGTCATTTATTAATAGAAAATGATATGCACAGGTCTTGTTATCCCAAATGGAGTTTCCCAAACATTTCAATCTTGTACTGGTTTAGATAAAACAACGACAACAAAAATTAACTATAGAAAGATAGATTTTAAGTGACTTCAAGTAATGAGGGATATAAGTCAGAATTGGTTACAAGGAAATAAAAGGTAAAATGCAACTAACACCTAATTTAACAAGCTAAGTGAATACAAAGCAAAGGTGAATCTCACCACATGTTCCAACAGTCTTACTGGCTGAAAGTCTTTCAGTCAGGATCTTTCCCCCAGTGCAGTTCTGCTTCCTTTGTTCTTCAGAGGTTGACGATGCCGAGGATAAAGAACAAGTGAGAAATGATTTGGGTTGAATTTTCACAAAACATGTTCCTTTTCTGCTTCAGATGACCATGAAGACTGGAAAAGGGTGGGTGGATGTTGGAAAAGCCGCCCTTGGTGATGGATTTCTTGTGATTGCCATAAATGTAAGTTTCTGGCTAGGTACAGTCTCCTGCAAACACTCTTACTAGCAAGTGCTACAATTGAGTAACAGCTTTCTGGGTGCTTATGTTTTCTTTTCCAGAGTCTAGAAAAACTATATGCCCAATTAATGAAGAGGAGCAGTGGTGAGGCAGATATTCAGGTGCACAAAGCTGATGTAGAGAAGGACCTGTTCAAAGTACTGTCTTATCAGGCTGAATCAGTACGTGTTCTGGCCGGTTTCCCTTTGTAGGTCACTGGGGCATATGGAATGTATGAATGATCATACTGGAACTTTGACTCAGTTGTTAGAAGTGTGAGTTCCTGTCATTAAACTGGAAAGATAAGTTTCCTAGATCTGCTGTAAGGTCTCAGATTTGACCCCTCAGTGTTGCAGTAATTTAAGCATTCTTAATATACCTATTTTTTCGACATGTAACTCCACTAATTTATCATAATCCTGCAAAGTTGTTTAGTTCATTTCATGAAGACTTGGAGTATGTCTACACAGCAACTAGACACCTGCGGTTGGCCTGTGCCGGCTGACTTGGCGGGGGCTGTGGGGCTGTTTCATTGCTGTGTAGATGCCTGGCTTGAACTAGAGCCTGGGTTCTACGACCCTGCGAGATGGGAGTGTCCTAGAACTCAGGCTCCAGCTCGAGCCCAGAAGTCTACACAGCAATAAAACAGCCCCCTCAGCGCAAGCACCACTAGCCTGAGTCGGCTGGTATAGGCCAGCCATGTTTTTTTTTTTTTGCTGTGTAGACATACCTTCTGTGATTTAGCTCGCAGGAGTGTTTATAAAATGGACAGCTATCTTTTCGAGGCCTGAGTCACCTCCTACAAAGGTCTGTGCTTCACTGGCTGAAGAAGCAAGATATCTGATGTTGGGGTTGAGCCAGGGTCTCCACATCCACAGCAGTGCAACATATATTTAGTGAGATACGTAAATTCAAAACCACACATCTCTGTACCAATATTCTGTCACTAAAGTAATCAAATAATACTTAAGTGCAACATTGCATCTAGATCACAAATAGCCAAGATCTAAGAGGTGTTAAAAAGCTGCACACAGGAAGCTACTTGCAGTGCATAATAACAACTTTATTGCATGTGCCACTAGATGGTAATCTTTAGCTATGCTAACTATGCACACACGCATATATAAACTATTTTTTATGTACAGTGTTTTTTATATATAAGTAGGGAGGTCATCGTTGCCAACTCATGATTTTAAGATGAGTCTCACGATATTTGGTGATTTTTCTTAAAGCTCCAACCCCTGCAAATCATGTGAATAGGCGAGAATCTCAGTTTTCTTAAAAATAATTTTAATAAAAGTAAATTTGTAGTCCTTAAGAAGAAAAGTTTGAAAATGACGCAAGTGTACCCTTCTAAAGCACCAAAAAGAAATAAAAAAAATAAAAAAAACTCATGATTTGTAAGCCACCCATGATTTTTGAATAGTTGGGGTTGGCAAAACTAAAAAGTGGTACAGAAATTGGGGTACAAATAGGAGAAGGCCTCAATCCCAAAGTTGCACAGGGAGCCAGTGGAGGGGCCAATGTGTCTGGAGATCAGATTTGCTGAACTGTGTTCCCAAACTTTTTACTATGGTGACTCACCAACTGCATTTTATTGGAGTTTTTTTGTGTGTGACCCTCTCAGGGACTGTATTCATGGAAGAGGCCCAAAAATCATAAGCCAGCATCCTTCTCCTCTTCATCGCCTCACTGAGGGGCATTGACTACATGCCTCACTGAGGGGCATTGACAGATACATCCTCTGCCTTGTATCTTCATGGCAATTTTAGCATTGGAAGGAAATGATCACATGATTCTACATGTTCACGCACTATAACCTCAGAATTTCACAGTGTGTCTTGCTGTTTTTGTTATCTCTCCACTTACAGTATAGTGAGTTGCACTGTATTGTGAGCCGAGAGGGTATTTAAAGACAAATTGTTTTTATTCTAACAATTTATTGGCATGTTCTGTTGCTTTCTTAGGCAGTTGTTCAAGGGTATTTTCAGAAAGCAGTGACATGTTTGCAACGCTGCAAAGATATGTTGACAAGGCTGCCAAAACAGGTCAGTGAAATCAGTTCTTTTGTGTCCTTCCAAAAGTTTAATATTAACAAGAAAGAAAGCAGCTTTTCAAGGAGCTACTGATGTCTCAGAAAATTCTGAAAAATACTTATCAAGACAATTCTCTGTACATCTATTCTGTGTCTTTCCTTTGCTTGTTCTTTTGTACTAAGGACATTTGTTTCTTCAAAGTTCACCTGCTCTTGCTGCTTCCTGCAGTTCCCGTTGGCCGGGAATGGTGAACTGCGGCCACTGGGAGCTGCGGGTGGCCGTCCCTGCGGACGGTCAATGTAAACAAACTATCTCGCGGCCCGCCACCAGATTACCCTGACGGGCCGCATGCAGCCTGCGGGTCACAGGTTGCCCACCACTACTCTACAGTGTAAGTAATAAAATCTAAAGGGTTCAGAGTAACAGCCGTGTTAGTCTGTATTCGCAAAAAGAAAAGGAGTACTTGTGGCACCTTAGAGACTAACCAATTTATTTGAGCATAAGCTTTCGTGAGCTACAGCTCACTTCATCGGATGTGTCCTATGAAGTGAGCTGTAGCTCACGAAAGCTTATGCTCAAATAAGTTGATTAGTCTCTAAAATCTAAAGGGATGGATGAAGGCTGAAATATGACTTTTGAAAGTGAAATGTGGTACTGTGCATGTTGTGGTTGAATGGGATTTAACTGGTTTCTGTGAAAATCTCTGCATATCCTTAAGAGTATCTGAGTGTAACTGATTTGAGGAGTTCTGCTTTCATTCTAGTTGCATGGACAAAGCTGCAATCATTGGATGAATCATTAAAGTGACTCATTGGGGTATTTGTATTGCTCCTTTTCATTTCATTTTAAATGTTACATGAAACTCCTCCATTAAGTAATGTTAAACTTGATGGCTTAGGACAGCGGCTCTCAACCTTTCCTGGGAAGGTCTCTAGGTAATGTTTTAAGAGGGAGTTCGGTCAGAGGATGGGTCTTCACCGACTCTGATAATTGAATCTTGAATGTCACTGGATTGATCTGCTTGAGAATCTTGGATGGGCTTAGGTATTGGTGATCCAGCTTAGCTGATGCTCAGGTTGATTTGAGATTCTGAGTTGATAACCAGACCTTGCTGGTTGATAACCGGATCAGATGACCAATGCTAAAGTTAGGTGCAGCCTGGTGACCCCAATCAGCTTAATGCTTGTAGACCACATCTGCTTGCAGAAGTTCACGCTGTAAAGTGCGTGCTGACTGCTGGCTAGTTGGTTCTGTTAAGACAGGTGTGGGTCAAGAAGCCATCCTCTGTTCTTAGCAGCATTACAATAAGCTGTTGGCAATCTTGATGCCTAGCTGGATAAATGCATCCAGCCCAGTTGGGGATTCTATCTGTGCCACTCCTCCTTGAGTCCATCCCAGCTGGAAGGGACAGCACTGAGCTGCCTTGTTCCAGTTTGTGTCTGTTACCAGGTGCTGAAAATCTGCAGCGTACTGAGCAACCAGCTGGCATCCTTGCTTCAATACCTGGTGCATGGCTTCTGCTGTATGTTACCATTTGGGTTGTTGAAGGTCATTGAAGTGGCTTGGACAAATTCCTTGAACTGACTCAAGAGGGGACTAGATTTCTCAAGCAGTGGAGAATCCCAGGTCAATGCTTCCCCAGTCTGCAGACTAATGACGAGTCCCATTATGGTTTGGTAGGCAGGAAATGACTGTTGGCACAGCAGGAACAGGAACTGGCGCTGGTTTAAGAACCCACAGTATTTTCCACAGTCCCTATCAAGCTTGTCAGACAGTTGGGATCTTGGGTACTCAGGGAGCCTGAGTCACTGATGACGTGGCTTGTGCCTGCGGCACTACATTCTGTGCCTGAAGGGCATGGACCTGGCTTTAATAGATTCTTCAGGGTGCTCGCTAACTCTGCCAAAGAGGCATCAACTTTAGTGTGGTCCATTGTGTAGCTAAATTACATCTTGTCTTTTTGGGCTGCTCAAACTTTCACGGACCAGGGTGTGGGCAGTTATGCCTAGTGATTGGAGCAGTGGCGGTCAGACCTAGTGGTTGGAATCAGTGTCAGAGGCCAGGGGCATTGCTGAGGATCAGAGATGGAGCTAGGAACCAGGGGTCAGGGCCAGAGCTGGGAACTGAGCAGGGGTGGAGCAAGGCTGGGAAGAAGGCATATAGGATCACAGCTGCAGGCATAAGTGTTGAGCCGCCAGCAACTTGTTGCTGCTGCTGAGCTTAAATGCAGACCTATAGCGATCTTGAAGCCAGTTGGGTGGGCTGGGCTGGCCAGTCAGGTGATTCTGCTGCCAAACTGGCTAGCCCCAGGTAGAGCCCTGCAAATCTGCAGATATCCGCTTCATATCCACAGACCGTTTTTGCGGATAGTGGATCGGCTGCAGATACAACTGGGCAGGGTTCTAGTCATTGGTGGTGCCTGGCTCGCGGTGTCCAGCTCTGGCAGCCTGGGGGGCGCAGTATGCTCAGGACTGGCAGCCAGTGGCTGGGCAGCAGATCAGAGTTGGGGCTGTCCAGCACCCGCTCGTCGTGCTACTTCCTGTCCAGCAGCTTGGGCCCCTCAGGCAGTGCCAGCGTCCCCATCATGGCCTGGCGCGGTAGCACTGGCCACGCTCCCAGTCCCAGGCCCGGCCCACCGGCTCCTCGGCAGCAGGGCCTGTCCCCGGCCCTGGGGATTGGAGCGGGCAGGGCCCTGGCGCCCCATCCCTCCAACGCACTGCGATGCAACACGCACTGATCTGCCGTGTGCCATCGCTTGCGAGCCCCCTGGGAGCAGCATGCGATGCAACGCTCCTTCCTCCCAGCAACCCCTTCTGCAGTGCCTCTTCTCCTCGAGACCCGCCCCCACCTTGCCCCTTACCCCCAGTCCCCATCCTCGTGCTGCCTCTTCCCTGTAAGACCCCGCTCCTCCACTCCCTCTTTTCCCCTCCTCCCCCTGTTGCTAGCCCTGTGAGATGGCTTGTTGCTATGGATGTGGGTGCGGCTGTGGATACAGGTAGAAGACGGCTAGTGGATTGGATTGTGGGTTGATCCTGGCAGATTCAGATTGGGTGTGGATCCACGTTTTTGTATCTGCGCAGGGCTCTAGTCCGAGGCTTAACTGAGGTAACTCAGGTTCCTAACACTTACTCACAGAGGAGCTGATGAAGCAGCAGTATTCTGAAATATCAAACATTGGAAGAACCTTTTCGCCCAAACTGTACAGTGCAATAGTTCCTGCTTTTGTGATGGGTTTTTATTCTCTCCCGAGTGTTTAGCTCTCTGGTGTTTCCTATTCTAATTTCTTGTGTTTTTTAGTTGTCCCTGTTCAAGTACTCTTGTTGTATTTATTGATGGAAGTGGGCTGCAACATGTACTCAATCAGTTCTACTGTTATGTGTGACCTTGAGGGATTTATTTATTAATGCTGCTTTAGTTTCCCATAGAACAACAATACAACAATTTTAGTCAGATTCCTTTTCCTCCTATAAAATCAGCTCTGATAGTGGTGGGTGTAGCTTTGATATAAAAAGTATTTTAAGTGTGCCTGAGACTCAACTGCCTTAGATTTCAGAAAGTCATTACAAGAACCTAACAGGAGAAGCACTTTTTTTTTAATTGCAGACCTGTTATCTATCAATCCTCTGCTATAACTTTGGAGTGGAAACCTATGAACAGAAGGGGTATGAACAGAGCTCCTTCTGGCTCAGGTAATGTAAAAAGGAAAACAAAATGCAAAGTATTTTTTTCTGAGAAAATAGCAAATGCGGTTGAAGGAATAGGAAAAAGCAATTTTTAGTTTTTGGATTTCATTGAAAAAATGCAAAATTTTGTTTAAAAAAAATTCTTTGTGGAACATTTTTTTTTGGAAAAAGCAGTTTTCTGATGGGGAAAAAGTTGTTTGAAAATTTTCATATAGCTCTAGTATTAAATGAATCAATCTGTAACCCTTCTGCCAGTCAGAGTTGGCAGGAACAAGGGCCGGGTTCAGTATCTAACGGTTCCTTTTCAACAATACAACACAAAACCGTCTTGAGCCCCCACCCAGTGACCTGCGACAATTACACACCACCCCATGGGCACCACTAAGAGGCCGTATTTCCCTTCTCACAAACACAGAGTCTGAGTTAGCAAAAAACAAAACAAAACTTTTTAGTAAAAGGAGGGAAGTAACTTAGCATTAATTTGGGAAAACACTGCAAACAAGGTTCATAAACATAAACTATGAGCGAAAGACCCACCCCGCAAGTAAGTTGGGCAGTGTCCTTTTCCCCTCGGGTTCTTAAGTGGAGCAACCCAAAAGTCTGTTTAACATGCCTGACCCTTCTCTGCACCCCACTCACAGTTGCTGTTCTTGGTCAGTGCAGCCCCAGAGTTCAGCGGTGCATCTGCAGAGATCACCTCCCACCCTGGAGGGGTGGAGGGGGTGGTAAGGAGGCACATTACATGCGCCGCTGCTCGGGCACTCAGTCGCCACACCTCTCCCTGCCAGCCACCCCACTGGCCACTTGCCACGCCTCTCCACCAGCCACCCTGCTGGCCGCTCCTCTCCACCAGCCGCCTTGCTGGCTGCTCACTGTACCTCTCTGCCAGCCACCCTGCTGGACACTCACCAAGATGTCTCAGGGTCCACCACTTAACACAGCTCTCAGTGATTTCAGCTGTTAGTGGGGGAGCCCCACTGCTGGTGCACACTGGGCAGTCTCTTACATCAGAGACACTGTCCCAAAGCAGGTCTAATTCTTAGACCTAGGTATCATGATTTCAGCTCTGTAGCATATAACAAGACTTTCGGTTGAGTCTAAATTGGTGTTTTTATTACACAGTTGAGAGAGGAAGGGTCAAATGGTGTCTAGGAGCCTTAAGCAGGGCCCACACCACCAGGTGCAAGTACCTGTCCCCACCCCTTCTCAACTCACTGGGTTTTGGAACCCATGTTCCCTGCCTACCAAGTGCTGTTTCGTTGAAGGTGAGTCCCTCCAGCAGGGTATGCCAGGTACAGTTCTGCTGCCCTCGATTCACACAACAAGGGTAACAACCCTTTATTACTCCTGCCCCAATAACAAGGAGACTGGGGATCCAACACCAGCCAAAAGTGATCATTTGGGCAAGCAATCACATCATACTGAGCACTAGGCAGAGTAGGTGTGCCCATGCAAACGAGATCAGCTCCTGAAGTCCTCTTCCACAGCTCATCACAGATGTCAGGAGAGAGCTCATTCAGACTCTGCTTACAAATCTAAAGCTCTGCTTGGCTGAGCAAAGCTAGGCCTACACTCAGCTCAGTGGCATTTCTCTGTTTACAGGCACATCCTTTCATGTCAACCTCAGTGTTATCTCAATAAGGGGTGGTAAGGTGGGGACCAAGAAAGCAGTGCAATAAAATTAAGAAAGGAACATTTAGGCTATCAGGAAAAATTATCTTGTGCCAGACTCAGAAAATTAGAATAGATTTAAAAAAAAATTATTCAGAAGAAATCAATTTGACAATGCCTCCTTTAATCTCAAACAATTAATGATCATAGATATTGAGTCAAGGAAGTCTTGAAGTAGTGTTTAGGGTTCATTAAAACTGATATTTTGGAGAACATCTCTTTATTTTGTTCTCTTTACTTAGAAGATGGAATACTAAGTGCTCACAAACACCAGTGAGAAAATCTTTGGAGTACAGAACTAACCATTGCAAAGCACAAACATTTGCCTGGATAGAATGTTATAGCACCATCTAGTGGGATTAATGTTATCTCATACTGAGAAAGTATCAGATCTGGGAATAAATTCCTGTAGACAGAGGCAGATTAAGGTTTTGTGGGGCCTTGGGCCAGAGCATGTGGGGGCCCTCCTCCGCACACTTTCTGCCTGTGGCCCTGCCCAGGGTCCCACACCATTCTGTCCCTTTCCCCCATTCCACCCACAGTCCTTCCCTATTCCACCCGCTCACTGCAGCCCCCCTTTGCTCCTTTCTCCCCCCCACCCCTGTGGCCCCAAGACCAGAGAAGCTCTGTCCCCTGCGGAGGGCGCTGGGGCCGCAGCGGGGAGTGAGAGCTCTCCCAGCCCTGAGGCCGCAGCAGGGAGCCAGACCTCCTCCAGTCCCAGGGCGGCAGCTGCCATCCGGGGTCTTGCTGCTGGGGCTTCCTGTGCCACTTGGGGCTTCAAACGGGGAGTGGGGCCGGGGCGCTGGGGTTTCCCCCGCTCCACCCCACCTCCCAGCACTGCTGCCAGGGAGCAGAGTGGGGTTAGGCGTGGGGGCTTCCCCTGTCTGCTCGGTGCTGCTGCCAGGGAGCAGAGCAGGGTCGGGGTGTGGGGGCTTGCCTTGCCCTGCCCGGTGCTCCTGCTGGGGAGAGGGGTCAGGGCTTGGAGACTCGGCCCTGCCCTGGTGCGTGTCTGCTGGGGGCAGGGCACCCTATTCTGAGGCCCCCCCAGTTGGCTGGGGCCCATTGGCTAATCCACCACTGCCCACAGATGTAATTTGTTTTTGCATCCCTAAAGTTTTTGCACTCATGTCCCATTTGTTACCTAGCTTCAATTTTATGGAATTACCCACAGGCATTCACCTCAGAGGCCTTTTATACTGTGATTTAGTGTTTAGAACAAGGACTGGGAATCAAGACTCCTAGGTTCTGTTTCTGGATCTGCTACTGATTTGACATGACCTTGAAAGCAGGTCACTTACCTTCTATGTGGTTTAGGGCTTGTCTACACTTGAAACACTACAGTGGCACTGCGGCAGTGGTGCAACTGCACCACTGTAAGCTCTTCAGTATAGACACTACCTGTGCTGTTGGGAGGGGTTCTCCCATCTTCATAGGCAATCCAACTCCCCAACAGGTGGTAGCTAAGTTGACTGAAGAATTCTTCCATTCGCCTAGCGCTGTCTAGACTGGGTGTTAAGTCAGTTTAACTTAACTGCTCTGGGGTGTGGATTTTTCACACCCGTGACTGATGTAGCTGGGTTGACTTAACTTTTTAGTGTAGACCAGGCCTAAATTTCCTCATCTGTATAGTGGGAATGACATTTCTGTTATTCTGAGAGGTATTGGTGACTGCTCGGGTCACACTCCTCTTTGAGCTTAGGGTGAGAATGCACCCTGTAGTTAACATGAGTATCAGAATGTGTTAAACAGAAGCACCTCACCTAAGACAAAATGGGGTTGTGAACCCATCCAGGAGTTTAGATTGAGTGGGCAGAGTGGTTTTGCTGAACAATGTGTGTGTATGAGAGGGAAGGCAGAGCACACACAAACTGAGAACACACAACACAGAGAGAGAGGCAGAGACAAAAAGCAAGAAAGCCAAGCAGCAGTCTGTGAGCACAGCATGACCTGAGAAAAGTCAGTGAGAGCTTTTCAGACTGTTGGCTAAAAAGACTTCGGGGTACAAGCTAAGAAATTGATTCTTTTGTTCTTGGTTTCTCCTGTGTTTGGAGAAGCAGGACTTTGTACATTCCTTGTAAATAAACAAGATTGCATCAAATAAAATATCAGACTCCATCAATTTCTACTTCCAACTGGAACATCTCCAGGGCCCAGAAATTTGACTAGCCACTCAGTTCAAAAAGGGGCAGCACTACGTATCTACCTCAAAGTGGGGTTATGAAGCTTAATTAACTTACTTGAAAACAGCAGAAAGAACTTAGTTTAATTCAGATCTGGGGATTTAGAAGGCAAATTAAATCCTGTCTGTTCTTAGATAATGGTGAAGATTATGTATGATTGTGTGCTCTGTCTTGTTGTTGTCGTCTTGTCCTATGATAATCATATCAGGCTGTGAAGTTCAAGAATGAATTCAGTTACTCTTACAGCGTCCTTTGTAAGGACACCTTGAGCCAAAGTGCTAAATCCGAAGAGTATCACTTTCTTTACCATATGACATTCAAAAGTGTTAGCAGGTGTTAGAGCCTGCTTCTGACACAGCTTGCACAGTTGACATATCTTGGTCCTATCTCTATTGATTTTTATTCCTGTAATGTGCCCTGTCTGCAGTCTCATGGATATTATTAAAGGATATTATTTTCTGATGCTTTTATATCAATCAGAGGATCTTTTATCTTGTGACCATTTATTTTAGCTAATATTTTCCTCTGTGCTCTATGTGGCCCTAATAATCAATGAAATGGAAAAGGTAAGTATGAGTTCACTGCGTAGTCCAGAAAGCTGACTGAGTTCTTCTAACATCTCTTAGCCCATACAATTCTTATCTTTTCTTTTAAACTGTAGCCAGAGCTATGATATTGGGAAAATGGATAAGAAGTATTCTCCTGGGGAAGAAATGCAGGTAAGAAATAAACATACAGAAACTTCTGAATTACACACAGTCTAATAGCAGGATGTCATTAGTGCCAGTCCTGCTCTGCAACCCCCAGTGCCTCTCTTTGCCAGTCTTGGACTTCCCCTCATAGCTCTGCCAGTGGTTATCCATCCTGATCTTTAGCACTTCCTGCTATTTTAGTCCCACAGAATGGTAGTGTAGTGTAAATAATTCTCCACTCGATACTAGGCTGAGTCTGAGACCGAGTCATTGGTATGTGTGTCCTTAGTCATATTTGAACCTAGATTTTCATAAAGACGTAAAGCTTGTGCATTAATACTTTGCTCCAGCTAGTGTATTTGGAGAAGAATTACGTTATAACCCATAGGCTCTGTCTTGACTGGGAAAAGTGGTCAATTTAGGTTAGTTTTAGTGAATGTGGTGTTACTTGATCTTTTCCCTAGTTTAAATGAACTTTGAACTTGACCAGCTAAATTAAGCTAAAGATTATCCTGCATCTACAGAAGGGAAAAGGTCAAGTTTAGGTCAGGCTTAGCTAGCACGTTTACTAAAAGCCTGACCTAAACTTAACCAGTTTACCATGTCAAGACAAATCTTCAGAAGGGATAAGAATACAATTGTTATATGATGGTAGTGCCTAGCAGTCCCAATCAAGGAGCAACACATTGTGCTTGGCACTGTACCTCTAGTAACAGAGAAGACAGTCCCTGGCCCAGTGTGCTTCAGTGAATATTATCCACAGCTTATATTTCCATCTCCTTTATTTCCACTCTTTTGTGCAATATTTAAGTGTTGTTTTTGGTTATTTCATTTGAGTTTAATTATTCACTTTGTCTTTTCTTTCTAGGCTAAAGTGCTGCGGTTATTAGCCACTGTCTATTTGGAGTGGGATTGCGAACAGTATCAAGACAAGGCTCTCAGGGCTATAAGCCTGGCTAACGAGGTTGTAACTTATTGTGATGTCTAAGCAGGCTGGATTGATTTAATACACAAATTTTAATAATGATTTAAATTGGCAAGCAGGAAACCTTGATTTAAATAATTGATTTTAATCTTGTTTTGCATTTGTGTTTTTAGTTATTTTCCTAAAGAAAGGTTGGTTATCATTGGTTGGTAACCATTAAAACATATTGATTTGGAACTAAATATGGCATTTACACTAAATTTTGGTTCTTCTTTTTGCTACCATATATTTGTTTAAACAGTTATATAGCTTAATTTCCATTTATTCAGATTCTCAATTTTTTCATTTTTGTTTTGCACCATTTACTATTTTCTAATATTTCTTATTTACTAGGTTATTATTAATTTTTACTTATGATTTGTGTCAGGCTCTGTTTGGATGGACATTCAGATTACCTTAAATGTGCTGGACACATAGGAAAAAAAGTTTATCAAAACATATTTTGAGATTGAAACTGTTTTATTAAACTGTAGTTAGTGAAGTGAACGGATTGTTTCTAGTCACCATGTTCTTCAAGATTTTAGAATTAATAGATCTCATCCTCTCACACCCAGTGTTTATTCTTAGATTATAAGAGGAAAACAAGCTTTCCTGCTTTTTCAGCTCCCACTGGTTTCTTCAATTTAATGACTAGATCATTCAAAGTTAACTGGTTAAATAAACTCAAGTGAAGAAAATAGTCTCTCTGAACCCGCAGGAAAAGATACTGCTGTCAAAAAACGGTTTCGCAAACTCTGGCTCTAGGTGCTTACTTACCAGTGACTTCCATCAGTTCAGTCGTTCGCCTTTCTTCAAAACTGATAGCAAATATATCCTGCTTAATAGTGTTTTTTATTTAAATTTAAATTATCTTAATAGATGTTAGTAAGTTTTGGTCTTAACATAGGTTGTCATAATTTAAAATTTAATTTTAAATAGGTTTATTTTTAAAAACACACTTGTATTTAATTTAATATTTTTTATTAAAATAAATTGATTTTTTTAAATATTTAAACAAAAACATTGATTTTTGTCTACCTCAGGTCTAAACCATCACCAAAGTCATTTCCAATACATTTGGCTTATACTCACAACACTGTGGGATAAATTCACCCATGGTGTCAAGTATCGGTGGTAGCCGTGTTAGCACTGTATCCACAAAAACAACAAGGAGTCCGGTGGCACCTTAAAGACTAACAGATTTATTTGGGCATAAACTTTCGTGGGTTAAAAATCCACTTCTTCAGATGCATGGAGTGAAAATTACAGATGCAGGCATTATTATACTGGCACATGAAGAGAAGGGAGTTACCTCACAAGTGGAGAACCAGTGCTGACAGGGCCAATTCTATCAGAGTGGATGTAGTCCACTCCCAATCATTGATGAGGAGGTGTCAATTCCAGGAGAGGCAAAGCTGCTTTTGTAGTGAGCCAGCCACTCCCAGTCCCTATTCAAGACCAAATTAAAGGTGTTAAATTTGTAAATGAATTTTAATTTTGCAGTTTCTCTTTGAAATCTGTTTCTGAAGCTTTTTTGTTCAAGTATGGCTACTTTTAAATCTGAAGTCAATGGAGCGCCATCAGAGATAACTTTGGCTCGCTCTATACATTTTGTGTTTTTTCTGATTCATTTGCCATGTTCACAAACTGGTGTAGTGCTGGTAGCTTTCATTAAGAAGAAGCCCTGCTGAATGTGCAGATCATGCATCTGTCTTTCTGCTATGAATTTCCATCAGTAGTAGATGCCTGTTGATAATAATGGTCAGACCATTTTTTTGGCATGGACGCATAAAATCTGCACATACAGAATAGAGTTCAGTGGTGTCCAGCTGAGATGTAGAACACCTGGTTTTTCAAATGACAGACTGGAAGACTATTGCCCTTGGGCCACAGTGTGTGACCATGATAAAATAGTGCTCCTGTAGAATTCTCTTTCCCATATGAACATGTCAAATTAATTTCATTCCTCCTTCCCTTTGGGTTAGCCTGTGCAAATGACGTTTCAGTAGAATTAATCTTTGGCTGGACATCTTTACATTTCCATTTCTTTGGCTTAAAAATGAATTGTAAATTCAAAATTTTGATTAAGATTTTAATGATTTTAAGTAAAAGCTAAAATCCAACTTTACCTGCAGCAAATGCTGTCGAGGCTTTCAGTCAAGTGATATAGTGTGGCTTAGAGGCAATGGAGAATGTATCTTAGGATATCCCCCCATCACCGTAGTATCTGAAGGCCTTACAATCTGTGTGGTAGACAAGTACTATTTATCCTCATTTTACAGATGGGGAACTAGGGCACAAAGAGAGGCAAAATGACTTGTCCCAAGTAACCTAGCAAGTCTGTAGAGGAGCAAGGACCTGAAACCAGGTCTCACAAGTCTAAGGGCATGGCTACACTTGCAAGTTAGAGCGCATTAAAGCAGCCCCGTGCACTCTAACTCACGACGTGTCCACACTGGCAAGGCACGTGGAGCGCTCTGACTCCGCGGCTAGAGTGCTCCTGGTACTGCACCTCGGCGAGTGGAATAACGTTTGATGCGCCCCCGCTGGAGCGCCAGTGTGGACGCCCCGGTCTGTTAATGCGCTCTGATCGGCCTCCAGAAGTGTCGTACAAAGAGCTGGACGCGGTACTTGGGGGTGACCCCACCTCCACTCTGAGTACCACGATGGACACTTCAGAGCCCAGTTCAATAAGGCAGGAGGAGGAGGAGGAAAGCAGGAGCGAGGGTGCTGAGGAGGAGGAAGACACCCTGGAATCCCTAGATGCATACAGCCAGGAGCTGTTCTCAAGCCAAGAGGAAGGTAGCCAGTTGTGCGGCTGGTGCTTGGGGAAGAACAAACACCAGAGGACGTGCCCGGTAAGTGACTTTTATTTTGGGAAGGAAGTCATTTGGTGCGGGCTCTTGGGGCAAGGAGGGTTAGGGCTGCATGCATGCCTAGATGCTTAATAGGGCATTGATGTGCTCTCTCACATCATGGTAATCAGCCTCAGTGATCTCTTCAAAGGTCTCATCCACAACTTGGGCAATGTGCTTGTGCAGGTTTCTCGGGAGAGCCACTGTGGTTCTTGTCCCAGTCAGGCTAACATGTCCATGCCACTGTGCCGTGAGAGGCGGGGGGACCATTTCTGCACACAGACAAGCTGCATATGGGTCAGGGCGGAAGCTGCATTGCAGTAGAAGACCCTCCCTTGCTTCCTAGGTCACCCTCAGCAGTGAGATATCTTCCAGGACGAACTCCTGTGGAAAATGTGGGGACAGTGTTCAGTATAGGGGCTCCCTGCAGCTGTTGGCTCTCCCCAAGGCACAGAAACCCAGAGGACAGTACAGCCGTGAAACAGTCAGTCACGCTTGTGCTTACTCACTATTTTGGGGCTCCCGTGGGTTATATGCGCTCGCTTTGGGACAGGCAAATTATGCTATTGTGTAGACTGTGCTTGCCTTTAAGTAGGGGGGAATCATTGCTCTGTCTGGTGTGAACAATGCTGCCTCTGTTAAATGTTACATTTTGCCTTTATAGATGCAACCTTGAGATCTCAGCCGTCCGAGTTATCACCGTCCGAAAGACTCCAAAAAATTAGGAAGAGGCCACGTAGAAGCAAAGAGGACATGCTGCATGAAGTAATGCAGCAGCCCCTTAACGAGAATCTAAAAGCGTAGGAGTGGAGGAAGAGTGAAAGGAGGATCCACCAGCAGAATGAGGAGTGCTGGCACAAAAGCGCGGAGCTCTGGCAGCAAAGCACGGATCGGCTGATAAGCATCATGGAGCGCAAAGCGGACTCGATGCAGGTGCTCATAGCACTGCAGACAGAGCAGATCTGCGCCTGCCCCCCTGCTGCAGCCCTTGTCCCAAAACTCTTTCCCTTGTGCCCCCATGTCACCACCAACCTGCTTTCCCCAACATCTGGTTTCTTATTGCCACCAGCTGCTTCCAACACCTGTAGCTTCACCACCCAAACCTGCAAACGACAACCCTTACCCACTGCACTCAACCCCCATCACCAGGCAGTACAGCCACCCTGAAGTGCAGCACTCATTGCACAGCACTCCAGACAGGAAGGCTGAGTATGATAACAGGACATACGCAAATCTGTGATTGTAATGTTCACCACCCCACCTCCTTGCCCTTTCTTTTTCCCAAGCCGTTGTGTTTCTTTTCAATAAATGAGTTTTCTTTTCAATAAATGGATTTTTTGGCTTTGAAAACATTCTTTATTATTGCATGAAGTAAATGATACCTTAGCCCAGGAAAGCAAAAGGCACTGCAAGTCAGTGTAGCAAACACAGATTCCTATTATCATTGGAACCACTGCACTTCACTCCTGTGCAAGGCACCAAACATTACCGGTGGCTTTCAGCCTCAGGTTGCTCCCTCATGGCATCCCTAATCCTTGCAGGCCTGCACTGGGCCCCTCTAATAACCCTGCTCTCTTGCTGTTCAAATTCAGCCTCCAGGTGTTGAACCTCTGAGTTCCATGCCTGAGTGAATCTTTCACCCTTCCCTTCACAAATGTTATGGAGAGTAAAGCACGTGGCTATAACTGTGGGGATGTTGTCATCGGCCAGGTCCAGCTTCCCATACAGAGAGTGCCAGCGGCCCTTTAAATGGCCAAAAGCACACTCCACAGTCATTCTGCACCAGCTCAGCCTGTTGTTGAACTGCTGCTGGCTGCTGTCAAGGTTCCCTGTGTAGGGTTTCATGAGCCATGGCATTAAAGGGTAAGCGGGGTCTCCAAGAATTACAATCAGCATTTCGACTTCCCCTACGGTGATCTTCTGGTCTGGGAAAAACATCCCGGCTTGCAGCTTCCTGAACAGGCCAGTGTTCCGAAAGATGTGTGAGTCATGCACCTTTCCGGGCCAGCCTGTGTTAATGTCAGTGAAATGCCCACAGTGATCCACAAGCGCCTGGAGAACCATAGAGAAATACCCCTTCCGATTAATGTACTCAGAGGCTAGGTGGGCTGGTGCTGGAATTGGAATATGTGTGCCATCTATCGCCCCTCTGCAGTTAGGGAAACCCGTTTGTGCAAAGCCAGCCACAGTGTCATGCACGTTACCCAGAGTGACAGTTCTTCTGAGCAGGACGCGATTAATGGCCCTGCACATTGGGACAGGACCCAGGATGCCCCGCGCCCTCCCTTCCCACAAGCTACAGTGCCAGAATGGGAAGAGGTGCTCTGTGGGATAGCTGCCCATAATGCACCGCTCCCAGTGCCGCTGCAAGTGCTGCAAATGTGGCCACACCAGTGCACTTGCAGCTGTCAGTGTGGACAGACTGCAGCACTTTCCCTGCTGCCCTCTCCGAAGGCTAGGTTTAACTCAAAGCGCTCTACGTCTGCAAGTGTAGCCATGCCCTTACACTATTGTCTAACCACTATATCATCCTTCCTCTCCTGAGAAGTACATGGAAGGTGTCGAAGACTAGGAGGGAAAGTTTGTACTAGATTCTGAAATGCACAGCAATCCAGCGAGGACTGGAGGGAACTGTTTCCGCTTTTCCCATGTGTTATAATATTAAGGGAACTTATAATTCTTTTTGCTTTGTTATAAAAATCACACAGATAAACGCTGCAAATAGACATCATCACAAAATGTGCTCGGTTTAGTTTTATTGCATATACTTCACAGAATTTTGCACAATGTTGTATGAGTTAAACAACAAAAGTGGCTAAACAACAAAGTAAATGAAACAGTGAGAGGCAAAAAGGCATCCTTTAAAAAATGGAAGTTAAATTCTAGTGAGGAAAATAGAAAGGAGCATAAACACTGGCAAATGAAGTGTAAAAATACAATTAGGAAGGCCAAAAAAGAATTTGAGGGCCTTTTTTTCTGGACTCCAGGTTTCAGGCAGTTTGTTCAAGTGTCAAAGGTTTGAAGGTTCACCCGATCATGGCATGAAACAGTTTAAGTCTTCTGGCTCACATGGCCTCTTGCACCTATGTGGTTCAATAGACCAGACTGCGACTCAGAACTCTGCAGGTCTGGCTGGCATCAGTTTACTTGCCAAGCCGCCCTCAATTGGACTTTGTGGTAAGAATGTCCTCTCATGTCATCACCTACCTAGGTTGGTGGACAGATCCAGCCAATGTATGTGTAGGCATTCCATTTGCCCATTCACAACCAATTCTCTTTAAAGTGACAGATGCTTCAGCCCTGGGATGGGGAGCCCATCTTGGATGTCAGAAGGGACTTGGCATTTTACCCAGATAGAACCAGACATGTTTGGAAATTTTCCCAGCTGTTCATAGCAGTGACTGACAGATTAAGAGGGCAGTCATTGACCCAGAGAATTTCTTCCTGGATTGTATCTTGTATACAAATGTTATGATTTGACTAATATTGCTCTGCCTGTCAGTCACAGCTCATTTAACAAGATCAAAATCAACCTTGGTCGTCTTTCTGGAACAAGTTCTAATTGCAGACATTTGTAAACCAAAAACAACCTGGTCCTCAGTCTACACATTTGCCTCCCACTATGCTGTGGCTCAAGATGGCAGAGATAATGCTAGAGTGGGTTGAGTTGTTCTCCAACCTTTATTGAAATAGACTCTGATTCCACCTCCTATTCTCTGTCTTGTGAGTCACTAAGAGTGGAATGCACATGTGCAATCAATCAAATAAGAAAAAATGGTTACTAACCTGTTCTGTGTTAGTTCTTTGAGATTTGTTGCATATATCCATTCTATGACATGCCTTCCTATGCTGCTCCATCGGAGTTATGGTAAGAAGGAAGAGAAAGAGGCTAGCGAGAACTCTGCTTTTCATACGTGCATGCAGTGGTGCGCACCAGTGGGGGAGCCCTAGCTGCCCAATGGGCACTGCTGAGGGAAAAAGTTTCCAGTGACAATGTGGTGGACGTGCAGACACCAAGAGTGGAATGGACACGTGAAACATGTCTTGAAGAACAATTACACAATAGGTTAGTTACGTTTTTCTCAGGTGCACTTTCTGTTGATAATCAAGTGTGGGAAAGAGGTCATGGCATGCAAACCCATAAGCATTTGAAGTATTAGTCTATTCAGGTTTTTATTTTCCTGCCATCACAGTAGTTTCTAAGCACTGAAGTGCACAGTCTCCTAAACTGCCTGGAATCCTACCTGTTATTAATTCTACATTAATCCAGTCAATTCAAGCCCTTGTAGGGGAGGAATGAATTCTGCCAGAATGTAAACATTCAGAACACTCTCAGCCTTTGTTCTGAAATGTCTATAGATGGATCCAGCAAGATCAGGTTACTGCATTTCACTCTTGAGACCTACTCAGAACCTCTTGGCAACATAAAAATTAAGAAAGAAAAATGAAAATTTAGACACTGAGTGTGTCAGAAATTTGCATCTCCTCCCAGAAGGAAAGATTGCCAGTTACGTAGCCATTGCTTGGGACATTTAAAACTAGATTGGAGAATACTGTGGAGACTATGGGCACGTCTTCACTGGCAACGTGCAGCGCTTTAACGTGGCTTATGGAGTCTCAGCACAACGACTACAGAAAGTCTAAGAAAACCACCTCCAGGAGGGGCGCAGCTCCCAGCGCTGGTGCACTGTCTACACTGGCACTTCACAGCGCTGAAACTTGCAGCGCTCGGGGGGGCTGAGTTCACACCCCTGAGCGAGAAAGTTGCAGCGCTGTAAAGTGCCAGTGTAGACAAGCCCTGTGTTGTTGGGGGAAAAGCCTGTCCTGGCTAGAATTTCCTGACATTCTTTCATGTTTGTGAATGTGCTGGACTCTTGATAGGATTCAGCTGAAATTGTTTCCTGAGTTTCAAAAAATAATCTGGCTGTTCATATAATGTCATTGTTTTTCAATATGCAGGAGAATATGCATCCAGCTGGGTTTTTCTTGAAAATTAAAATCCTTCTGAAAAGTGGAGCATCTGATGAAGACGTCAGGACAGGTATCACAGCTCCTTATGTAATGTGGTTCAGAATAATGTCATTGTATTCCAGGCCCAAGAAGTAAGAATGAATGATGTGGGAGAGAGTTGAAATTAATCTCTTATCTGTTGTAGAAGGGGACTTATTTGCTAAATGTCACAGCCTGGTTTTGGGATGTATGTGGTGTGGAAATCTGTCTAAAATTATTATAGCAATCCTTGGGAATACAAATGCTATTGAGGGCCTGGTGTAACTTTGAGTAAAAGGAAAAAGTTTCTTTTGCTGCTGAGTGAGTTACATTCATTTGCTGGGGGAGGACTTGTTAGTACTAAGGTAGTGAAAAGACAGCTGTGTAAAAATGTTGGTGGTTTTAGACTTTGGGCTGTATTCACTCAGGGTGAAATTAAATTCTGTGCAGAAGGCCAGCACAGTTACTCCTCTGCTTGTGAGGTAAGATACTACTTCACATGAGTAAGGATGCAGAGTCTGGCTGAGTATAAGTAGAGTGGTCAAGATAGTGATTGGCCATGTGTTGATAAAATAAAGTTCTCCTTCGAGTAGTGTCCCTATGAGTACTCCACTGTAGCTGTGTCCCTGTGCTGCTGATTGGGTGAACTTCGGTAGCAGTGTCTGTTGGGCTCACACATGTGGTACCTCTCCTCATGCTGTGCCAGGAGGCTAGTCAGTGCGCTTGGGCTAACTGTCCTCAGTTCTTTCTCTACTGCCCCAGCTAGAGATGGAGCCATTAACTGTCCATGAGCACGTTTCAGAGTAACAGCCATGTTAGTCTGTATTCGCAAAAAGAAAAGGAGTACTTGTGGCACCTTAGAGACTAACCAATTTATTTGAGCATGAGCTTTCGTGAGCTACAGCTCACTTTATCGGATGCATACCGTGGAAACTGCAGCAGACATTATATACACACAGAGATCATGAAACAATACCTCCTCCCACCCCACTGTCCTGCTGGTAATAGCTTATCTAAAGTGATCATCAAGTTGGGCCATTTCCAGCACAAATCCAGGTTTTCTCACCCTCCACCCCCCCACACACAAACTCACTCTCCTGCTGGTAATAGCCCATCCAAAGTGACAACTCTCTTCACAATGTGCATGATAATCAAGGTGGGCCATTTTCTGCACAAATCCAGGTTCTCTCATCCCCTCACCCCCCTCCAAAAACCACACACACAAACTCACTATCCTGCTGGTAAAAAGAAAAGGAGTACTTGTGGCAGTCTCTAAGGTGCCACAAGTACTCCTTTTCTTTTTGCGAATACAGACTAACACGGCTGTTCCTCTGAAACCTATCCTGCTGGTAATAGCTCATCCAAAGTGACCACTCTCCCTACAATGTGCATGATAATCAAGGTGGGCCATTTCCAGCACAAATCCAGGTTTTCTCGCCCCTCCCCCCCCACATAGACACACAACCTCACTCTCCTGCTGGTAATAGCTCATCCAAAGTGACCACTCTCCCTACAATGTGCATGGTAATCAAGGTGGGCCATGTCCAGCACAAATCCAGGCTTTCTCACCCCCCCCCCCTTTTTTTTTCCGGGGACACACACACACACACACAAACTCACTCTCCTGCTGGCAATAGCTCATCCAAACTGACCACTCTCCAAGTTTAAATCCAAGTTTAACCAGAACGTCTGGAGGGGGGTGCGGGGGGGGGTAGGAAAAAACAAGGGGAAATAGGCTACCTTGCATAATGACTTAGCCACTCCCAGTCTCTATTTAAGCCTAAATTAATAGTATCCAATTTGCAAATGAATTCCAATTCAGCAGTTTCTCGCTGGAGTCTGGATTTGAAGTTTTTTTGTTTTAAGATAGCGACCTTCATGTCTGTGATTGCGTGACCAGAGAGATTGAAGTGTTCTCCGACTGGTTTATGAATGTTATAATTCTTGACATCTGATTTGTGTCCATTTATTCTTTTACGTAGAGACTGTCCAGTTTGACCAATGTAAATGGCAGAGGGGCATTGCTGGCACATGATGGCATATATCACATTGGTGGATGTGCAGGTGAACGAGCCTCTGATAGTGTGGCTGATGTTATTAGGCCCTGTGATGGTATCCCCTGAATAGATATGTGGGCACAATTGGCAACGGTCTTTGTTGCAAGGATAAGTTCCTGGGTTAGTGGTTCTGTTATGTGGTATGTGGTTGTTGGTGAGTATTTGCTTCAGGTTGCGCGGCTGTCTGTAGGCAAGGACTGGCCTGTCTCCCAAGATTTGTGAGAGTGTTGGGTCATCCTTTAGGATAGGTTGTAGATCCTTAATAATGCGTTGGAGGGGTTTTAGTTGGGGGCTGAAGGTGACGGCTAGTGGCATTCTGTTATTTTCTTTGTTAGGCTTGTCCTGTAGTAGGTGACTTCTGGGAACTCTTCTGGCTCTATCAATCTGTTCCTTAACTCTTCTTTCAGTTGTTAATTTTTAGCTTCTAAAAGTTCTTTAGCCTTCCCTTATCTTTATTTTGGCCCTGCCAGAAGAAAAGAAGAAAAAAGAAAAGAAAAAGGACTTTGTTTTTCCAGCGTCCCTGGTGGGAATGGGGGACCCCGCTGGACAAGGTTATGCTTGGCTCTCGGGGCTTCAAGAAGTGTTATACTTGAGCAAGGTTTCAGAGTAACAGCCGTGTTAGTCTGTATTTGCAAAAAGAAAAGGAGTACTTGTGGCACCTTAGAGACTAACCAACCTACTTGAGCACAGGCTTTTGTGAGGTGTCCGATGAGGTGAGCGTGGCTCACGAAAGCTTGTGCTCAAGTAGGTTGGTTAGTCTCTAAGGTGCCACAAGTCCTCCTTTTCTTTTTGCGAATACTCGAGCAAGGCAATCCCAGTCACGGACAAGCACTCTCAATACATTCGCTGCCTTGGCGGGGGCCACATTCAGCAAAAGTGTTCCCTCTGCCAAGAACTTCGACTGAAATCCCGCAAAGACCAAGAGCTTCACCAGAAGATCATCTTCATGGAGGAGGATCTCCGACCACAGCCCCAAATCAGGCGTGAGTCTTCTTCCCAGCCTTCGACTTCAAAGCATAGTGGGTCGAGAAAGTGGTCTGGGAACTCCTCTCAAAAGCTAAAAAAGAGAGTGGGAAGTCTCCTCAGCGAGCCATGGGATAACTGAAACTGATCACCATCTTGCTCAGTATCCTTGGCACTGCAGGCACTGAGGTCGTCAGGCACCCATACCTCATGGCGACCGTTGGCACCCAGAGCCGCTGATAGGCCCACGTAAACTTTGGTCATGGGCACCGAATCTCTGGTACGGAAGGATAAGGGAAAATGCCCTAAACTGCTCCCAGAATATGAACCGTCATTGGTACCACCGGTGGCACTGACCCAGCTGGCACCAGACAGATCGGCATGGGCAAGGTCTCCATCCCCTCTGGCACCGCCACCGATGCTGGGATGCTCGGTGCCAACAGAACTCCAGCAGACCGGGGACCTGGTTATATTGGAAGTTCAGAACTCGCCGCCCCTCGGTACTGAGACGATGGCACTGAGTCATGGTCACTCAAGAGGTATTTCCCTACAATCCTGGTACGCACCGCCATGGTCAAGCAAAGGATCTGACAGTGAATCAGATGGACTTCTGAGTACTCCTCCGAGGCTCCATATGGGACCCAATACCAACAGAGTCCAGGAATGTACCACCAGATGGCACTGCTGACATCCTGGTATGGTCACCCATGGGCACCTCCACCAGGCCCTATGCCACCACAGTGGCCCTACAGGGACCGCTGGACAGCTCATCGCCAGCCTTCCTCCAGGACACCACGTGTCATCAGAGAACCTCACAGACAGGCTCCCTCAGCTATAGAATCGTGAGCCTCAGTATCCTTAGAGGTTGTGGAGCTGGAGATGGATGCTGAGGAGGAGATCGCACCCAATGCCATATCCTCCTCTTCACTAGACAAGGCGGTCATGCCATCACAACCCCCCATAGCAGATGATTTTCACCTATTCCAGGAGCTGGCAAAGAGAGTGACTGACACCCTTTATATACCATTGGAGGAGGTTAAGGATACTCACCACCAACTTATTGATATCCTCCACGTCTCATCCACCTCCAAAGTCATCCTCCCAATTATGAGGCCATCCTAGACCCTGCTAAGGCTCTGTGGGAACTCCAGGTCTCGATGGTCCTGACTTGCAAGCAAGTGGACAAAAAATACTGTGTCCTCACAAAGGAGTCAGAGTTCCTATTTGCCCACCCACCATCCAATTCCATCATGGTAGATGCTGTGAATTCTCGTGGCTGTCAGCACCACTTTAGAATGATGCCCTACGACAGAGGTTGGTCACGTCTTGATCTCTTTGGTAGTAAAATGTACTCCTCAGCCACCTTTCGGTTCCGAATTGCAAACTACCAGGCACTTCTGGCAAATAATGATTACACAAATTACAGGACTTTATTGATAAAAGTGCCATAGAGCTCCTAGGATTCCTTCAAGGCTATCATCCAGGAAGGCCAACTGGTGGCAAAAACAACTCAACAGTCGACTCTCAACGCTGCCGACATGGCTGCCAGGGCTGTCTCCACTCCGGTGGTGATGAGGTGCGTGTCATGGCTTCACCTCTTGGGTTTCCTGAAGGAGGTGCAGACAATGGTGGAAGACCTCCCCTTTGAAGGGATGAAACTCTTTGCCAAGAAGACCGATGCCTCCCTCCACTCCCTGAAGGGTTCCAGGGCCACTCTCAGATCACTGGGAATTTATACACTGGGGCAAATGAGACGATTCAGCTCACAATACCAACACAGACAGTATTCAGCAGTGTTCCCAGTGCAGCAGCATTCTGAGCCTCAGAGGAAGAAGAGGAGATTCTCGAAGTGGAAGCCCTCAGGCTCCCAGTCCTTGATCTAACTGCCTGCCCTTAAACTCCACTTTTGATGGGGAGGTTGGGGTGCCATGAGACCACTCCTCACCACTGTTCCCTCTAAGCTGTGCACATGCGCACACAGATCCTAAACCCCGTGCACACAGTGAAACACCACATGCACAAAAATTTGCACAGAAGAAATTTTTTACGCACGTGGCCTGTCAAAAATTAGAGGGAATGTTGCCCTCACTATCACCTGTGACCACACACCTATTTGGCCACTGTTTGGCAGCATTCCACAGAGCCTGGGAGTGCATAACATTGGACAGATGAGTCCTAAAGATTGTCAGATCTGGATATTCCATCCATTTCACCTCCTATCTCCTCCACAACACTCTTCCCTGTCCCGCTTCAGGGACCCTTCCCACGGGAGTCTACCATGGCAGGAGATAGACTGCCTCCTGCAGTTAGGAGCCATAGAACCAGTACCTCAACATCTACGAGGCTAGGGGTTCTCCATTCTGTACTTCTTCAGCCTCCCTTACTTTTGGGTATTGAGACCCATCCTGGACCTAAGAACTCTCAATAAGTTTGTCAAAACTCAGATATTCAAGATGGTCACACCATTAACGATCATTCTGTCACTGGAACAGGGAGCCTGGTTTTCAGCCCTCAACTCACAAGATGCCTATTTTTACATCTCAGTACTACTGGCTCACAGACGTTCCCTCAGGTTCACTCTGGGAAACAACCATTACCAATACAGAGTCCTTCCCTTCCGACTTTCATTGCCCCCGAGAGTATTTTCCAAAGTTCTCCGTAGTGGTCACCCATTTAAGATCTCAAGGGATGATGATCTACCCTTACCTAGAGGATTGTCTCCTCAGTGTCTGGTTGCTTCAGAAGGCTCGTCGAGCCACTGAAGAGACAATAACCTTGTTCATGGAACTGGGAGTACAGATCAACTCGCAGAAGTCAACCCTTATGCCAGTGCAATGCCTGGAATTTAGAGGGGCCGACCTAGATGCACTACAAGCCAAAGCCTTCCTACCTCAGGACAGATTTCACTCCCTGGTATCTCTTATAGACACGACTCAATTCAGCCCTCAAGTGCCAGCCAGAATCTTCCTCCAGCTTCTGGGGCATATGCGCTGCCGGCATGGCAGTTATTCCTCATGCCAGACTTCACATGTGATGCCTACAGCTGTGGTTCAGCTTGGTTTACAGACTGAACAGGCACAGTCTGGCCAAACTCTGTCACTACCCACCAGGGTCAAAAACTCCCTGGACTGGTGAAAAGACCCAACCAATGTATGCAAAGGGATCCTCTCCCTACAGGGGCCACCTTTGTCACTCCTTACCATGGACGCATCCCTCCTAGGATAAGGCGCACATTTAAACAGTCTCACAGCACAAGGCAGATGGTCGCTGGCAGAGATCTCCCTTCATATCAGTCTCCTCGAACTTAGAACCGTCAGGAATGCCTGCACCAATTTCCTCCTGCTGATAGCAGGCTCAAATATAAAGGTCCTGACGGACAACATAGCCTGCATGTATTACATCAATCTCCAAGGAGGAGCCCGATCACCCTCTCTATTCGCAGAGGCGATGAAACTATGGAATTGGTGCATCTCTCACAGTTTCACCTGGGCCACGGCTTACCTCCCAGGCACAATAGCATACAAAGTCAGTTGCACATTCCTGCATGACCACGAGTGGGAGATGCACCCATCAATACTTCAGGGCTTGTTCACACGGCGGGGAACACTGTCCACAGATCTGTTCGCCACTTACCAGAACAAGAAGTGTCCCCGATACTGTTCCAGGGTGGTGATTGGACAACGATCTCTAGGCAATGCTCTCCTCCTTCCATGGGACAAAGACCTTCTTTACACCTTCCCTCTGTTTCCTCTTCTGCTGAAGGTCCTGCTCAAGATAAAGAGGATGGGCCTCACGTGATTCTGATCACCCCTACCTGGATGAGACAGACCTGGTACCCTTACCAAATGCAGCTTGTGATGTGCCCGCCGATCTCCCTTCTGACCATCCCACACCTCCTCATACAGGACAAGGGGCACACCATGCATCCCAACTTGGGGATCCTCTGACTCAAAGCATGGCTTCTATGTGGTTCCAACTCCTAGAAAGCTCATGCTCAAAGGAAGCACAAGAGCTCCTACTACACAGTAGAAAGTTCTCCACACAATGCACTTACCTGCAGAAGTGGTCCAAGTTCCAGATTTGGTGCATGTCCCAGCAACTCTGTCTAGAGTTGGCAACTCTTCCACATATTCTGAAATATGCCCTGACCCTTAAAAAATCAGGACTATCCCTGAACTCTCTCAAAGTCCACCTCGCTGATTACAGTATTTCACCATTCCATAGAGGGGTACTCGGTAATTTTGCAACTAATCATAAAAAGGTTCCTGAAAGGAATAACAAACATCTTCCCTCAGCCTAGACTTCCCTTCCCCTCTTGGGATCTAAATCTAGTATAAAAGGGCTGACTAGGCCCCCATTTGAACCCATGGCCACCTGTTCGCTAACTCATCTGTCCATGAAAATGGTCTTTCTAGTCGCAATTACCTTGGCTAGAAGAATAGGGGAGATAGCAGCTTTAATGACACATCCTCTGTACATGGTATTCTTCCTGGAGAAGGTCACGCTTAGGCCACATCTGAAGTTCCTCCCTAAAGTGACCTCCTCTTTCCACATGAACCAGTCTATTCACCTTCCCACCTTCTACTCCAAGCCTCACTGGGAAAATAGGGAGGCCATACTACATACCGTGGACATTAGGAGAGCCCTTGCATTCTACCTCGATAGAACAAAAGCCTTCAGGTAATCCCCTAGATTGTTTCTCTCTATGGCAGACAGGTCAGCGATATCAGCCCAATAACTTTCTAAGTGGGTCTCAAATTGTGTTACAGAGTGCAGATTCATTACATGACCCCTCTGGACTCGATCCATACACACTCCACAAGATCAGTCTCTTCATCTGTTGCCTTCTTAAAGCATGTTTCCATCTTGGAGATCTGGAGAGTGGCGACTTGGGCTTTGGTCTGTACCTTCACAGAACGTTATGCGATCACTGAGGACTCTGCCTCTGATGCCATATTTGGCTCCACTGTTCTTTCTTCTGTGACCAATCCGACTCCGAAGTCTCAGCCCTCCACGGGAACACCCGTAGGGACACAACTCGAAGAAGTTACTCACCGTGTTCAGTAACGATGGTTCTTCAAGATGTTCTCCACTACCTTCCCTCCTCCCATCTACTTTGGAGTTCTCACTATGACTCTGCAGTAGAGAAGGAACTGAGGATGGTTAGCTCGCGTGCACTGGCTAGCCTCATGGCACAGCACAAGGAGAGACAGTGCGTGTGTGGGCTCAACAGACACTGCTACTGATGTTCTCCAATCAGCAGCTCAGGGATGCAGACACACCTGCAGTGGAACACCCATAGGGACACATATATTGAAGAACCATTGTTACCACACAGGGTGAATAACTTCTTGTGTTAACACAGGTTTGTTTGTTTCATATAGGATATATAAACTATTCTTACTTGCTCTTCAGACTTGTCAACACAGTATAAGTCAACTGGTTTCTCTGTTGGTATCACAGCAGAAGAGTGTCTTCAGGAGGGATTTGAATTCAGAGAACTTGGTGGCTCAGGAAGAACTTTCTGTTCATAGATGGTGAGCTGTTCAGGGCAGGCACCGTGCTGTCTTCTCTGGAAAGCACCAAGTACACAGTGGGCACTTCCAGAAATAAATTTTGGTCTCCAGGTAACTGGTTTGAATTCTGTCAGATTGAAACTCACCTTCAGATGGCTGTTGAGGAATTTCAGTCCAGTTTCTAGGGACAGGTGTCCAAAACCCACCATCATGCTAACTTGCTCTTTTGTTGCAGTCTTAACTGAGAGTCCACGGAGACTGAACTCTCCACAGTCATTGAAAATGGTCCCTCCAGGACAGGTGGGAGGCACATTGTGAAGGGACAGCTTGAGGAGGAAGCTTGCATTGTTGTTGTCCTTTCTGTTTGTGTTCTTATGAGAGACAGATGACTTGAGTCTCCAGAGCTGTCAACTTGGCATCTTTCACTAGCCTCAAATTCATTTTGAAAACATGAAAAGAAAATGAAAATATGAAGAACATGTTTAACTGTTGCCTAGTTTTAGAACTATGATTTTTTTCCTAAGAAGACAAAAGACTTGACAGTGAGTGTGAAGGTATATACTTTATGGGACAGGCTGGGACAGCCTGGAGTGTAATCAAGGAGGTCCTGCCTTGCACTAAGACTGGGCTATTTAAACAGGAACAGGAAGTTAAGCAGAGAAGAGGAGAGTAGAAGCTAGGCAGGCTGCAGCGGTGATGTTTTTTTAATCTAAGACTCTAGGAGACTGGTTAAGATAGACTCAAATACTTTGTTTTGTGGACTTAAGTATGGGAGCTCTGATCTGCGGTCATTAGATGAGGACCTTATGAACGGTTTATTGTAATTGTTGTCCTGAAACCTTATGAAAAGGAGACATGCTTTTTTGTTCATGTATGCTGGCTTCTCCTTGCCCCAGGCTGTTAAAACAAACCTAATGCTGTCCCAATTGGGGGAAATTAAAGTGGAGCATACCCACAACACCATACCAGGCTGCAAGGGGGAGCATAGGGACAGCCCACATCTTTACAGTGAGCAGATACATTTCCTCAGTGACTCAGTAATCCCCACTGTTTCTTCTCTCTAGCTGCTGCTGAACTTCTGCATCATGAAGTGTCACTAGATTTCTGTTTGAACACTGCTAAGCTGCTTCTGGAACATGAGAGGTACAGAACTTCAGCATCCACTACTTGAGGGAGAACATACATTGCCTGGGCTTCCCAGTATTCTTACGAAGTGATACCCAACAACAGGAGAGCTAAGTTGTAGAAATAGTGTGTCAGGGGCATGATACAGTGTGAGTTGGGATGGAAGAGAGAGTTGCTACACCTTATCCTACATTAGCATAAGTAGGTCCCTAGGGTGACTAGATAGCAAGTGTGAAAAATCGGGACAGGGTGTGGGGGGTAATAGGTGCCTATATATGAAAAAGCCCCAAATATTGGGGCTGTCCCTATAAAATCGGGACATCTGGTCACCCTAGTTGTCCCTGTGCAGCCTTAATTTGTGCCTTGGCTTGGCAGCCCTGACTTGTGGAGCTGCTTCCTCCACTCTGTCCAAGCACAGCTCAGGGTGAATGTTGAATCAGGGGTGATATATTTTTAGCTATACCCTTTTATCTGGAGAGATGCTGTAGTGCAAGGACTGTTTTAAATTTCCATTACAAATTCCTGTTGTCAGGTCATCCGAGTTCAGGTAGCTTGGCAGTACTACGGTGCACTGAAGTGTGAGACGTTTGTTCAGAGCAACTTGTGCCAATTGTTTCTCTGGCATGTGAGTTCAGACACCGATGTGATGTGCTTGAGGCTCTGAGGAAGGAGATTATACTTTCTTGGGCCCCAGTTATGAAGTTGTGTTGGCATTTATTTGGCCTATCTTTCAACAATTAGATAAGAGAATGTGAGAAAAGGAGCAAAGGGAGATTTCTGGCAGCCAGCGGGAAAGCTATGATGGACCAACAAAAGCTATTTTGAGGGAATCTCCTCCAGGATTCTCCCATTTACTCCATGGACACTGTGACCACAGATATAGTTCTCTTGAGGGTGTTGCAAAGGGCTCCCTTCTGCAGGGTTTGAACATGTTATCCCGTAGTGCTTCTATGACTTGCCAGCAAAGGATTGAGCATAGTGCCAAACTCTTGTCCCCTATGTGATAATACATTTCTAGACTGTCTTAATCAAGGACTTAAGCTCTTGAAATACTATTCTTGGGGCCTGCAGTTCTGGAAACAAACCCATAAAAAGGTTAGGTTATAAGCAATATGTCTGTGAGCAGGGAATTCCCATTTCCACACTGCTGTCCTCTGTTTCTCCCTCTGTGTTTATGCAGGATACATATCTTGGAATCACATAGGCTATCGAGGTTAGAATTTTAGCCTTAATGCTGGATTTATTTCCTTTTGGCAGGGTTAACCAGAGTTTGAATGTTTCTTAAATGTAGATGTTTATGGACTGACATGTTACAGGGGTGTCCTGGAGCCAAATGAGCAATTACTGGTTAGGGCACTAGTTCCCAGTCTGCTTTGTTGACCACAAGGGATCCACAGAGCCTTTGAGAGTCAGGAATTGAGGGTGGCTCATAGAAGCGGTGGAGCATCTTTCTGCTATGACCTGGTCCTCAGAATGAAAAAGCTGGAGAATCACTGGGTTAAACCATCTAGATTCTTTTTTGTGAAAAGCAATCTAAGTGAAAAACATATTTTATGGGATGTATATATTGGGCCCCAGAATGGGAAGTCAACAGCTCCTTCTGCACAACTCCCTTAAAAATGCATCTCTGTGAATAGGGAATTCGTTGGTTTTGATTTTCTGAAGTCCATCTCTGGGCGGTTTGCGTTGTCACCTGACCTCGGAAAAATCATTTTACTCCACATCGAGTTTCTGTTACAGAGGATGAAGGAGCCTCTAGCCAAGCAAAAAATTGAAGACATCATTACAGGTCAGTGTCCAACTTCTGTTGTCGATTGCTGATGACAGGGCTTAATTGACTTAAGCAATTGATTTACCTCTTCTCTCTCCTTAACCCCTACTCTCCTCCTCCTTCCTTTATATCTTTTTCTTACTCTTTGTCATGTATTGTATATGGTAAATTGCATATTTATTACTAGCAGGTCATGCTGCTGTACCAGATTTGGACTGCTGGAGCTTCCTTCTCAAAGAGGTGCAGACTGATGTGTTCACTATAAGATCCTTTAATGTTATGCCAGGTATTCACTGAATGCATCCAATGAAGTGAGATGTAGCTCACGAAAGCTTATGCTCAAATAAATTTGTTAGTCTCTAAGGTGCCACAAGTACTCCTTTTCTTTTTGTTAAATAAAGTATGGTTTCAGAGTAACAGCCATCTTAGTCTGTATCCACAAAAAGAAAAGGAGGACTTGTGGCACCTTAGCGACTAACAAATTTATTTGAGCATAAGCTTTCGTGAGCTACAGCTCACTTCATCGGATGCATTCAGTGGAAAATACAGTGGGGAGATTTATATACACAGAGAACATGAAACAATGGGTGTTACCATACACACTGTAAGGAGAGTGATCAGGTAAGGTGAGCTATTACTAGCAGGAGAGCAGGGGAGAAAAAGCCTTTTGTAGTGATAATCAAGGTGGGCCATTTCCACCAGTCGACAAGAACATCTGAGGAACAGTGTGGGGGTGGGGGAGGCGGGGGTGGGGGAATAAACATGGGGAAATAGTTTTACTTTGTGTAATGACACATCCACTCCCAGTCTTTATTCAAGCCTAAGTTAATTGTATCCAGTTTGAAAATTAATTCCAATTCAGCAGTCTCTCGTTGGAGTCTGTTTGTGAAGTTTTTTTTGTTGAAGAATTGCCACTTTTAGGTCTGTAATCGAGTGACCAAAGAGATTGAAGTGTTCTCCGACTGGTTTTTAAATCTTATAATTCTTGACGTCTGATTTGTGTCCATTTATTCTTTTACGTAAAGACTGTCCAGTTTGGCCAATGTACATGGCAAAGGGGCATTGCTGGCACATGATGGCATATATCACATTGGTAGATGTGCAGGTGAATGAGCCTCTGATAGTGTGGCTGATGTGATTAGGCCCTATGATGGTGTCCCCTGAATACATATGTGGACACAGTTGGCAACAGTCTTTGTTGCAAGGATACGTTCCTGGGTTAGTGTTTCTGTTGTGTGGTTGCTGGTGAGTATTTGCTTCAGGTTGGGGGACTGTCTGTAAGCAAGGACTGGCCTGTCTCCCAAGATCTGTGAGAGTGATGGGTCATCCTTCAGGATAGGCTGTAGATCCTTGATGATGCATTGGAGAGGTTTTAGTTGGGGGCTGAAGGTGACGGCTAGTGGCGTTCTGTTATTTTTTTTGTTGGGCCTGTCCTGTAGTAGGTAACTTCTGGGTACTCTTCTGGCTCTGTCAATCTGTTTCTTCACTTCAGCAGGTGGGTATTGTAGTTGTAAGAATGCTTGATAGAGATCTTGTAGGTGTTTGTCTCTGTCTGAGGGGTTCGAGCAAATGCGGTTGTATGATAGAACTTGGCTGTAGACAATGGATCATGTGGTATGGTCTGGATGAAAGCTGGAGGCATGTAGGTAGGCACAACGGTCAGTATAGGGTATAGGGTGGTGTTTATGTGACTGTCGCTTATTAACACCGTAGCGTCCAGGAAGTGGATCTCTTGTGTGGACTGGTCCAGACTGAGGTTGATGGTGGGATGGAAATTGTTGAAATCATGGTGGAATTCCTCAAGGGCTTCTTTTCCATGGGTCCAGATGATGAAGACGTCGTCATCAATGTAGCGCAAGTAGAGTAGGGGCTTTAGGGGACGAGAGCTGAGGAAGCGTTGTTCTAAGTCAGCCATAAAAATGTTGGCATCCTGTGGGGCCATGCGGGTACCCATAGCAGTGCCGCTGATTTGAAGGTATACATTGTCCCCAAATGTGAAATAGTTATGGGTGAGGACAAAGTCACAAAGTTCAGCCACCAGGTTTGCTGTGACATTATCGGGGATACTGTTCCTGACGGCTTGTAGTCCATCTTTGTGTGGAATGTTGGTGTAGAGGGCTTCTACATCCATAGTGGCTAGGATGGTGTTTTCAGGAAGATCACTGATGGATTGTAGTTTCCTCAGGAAGTCAGTGGTGTCTCGAAGATAGCTGGGAGTGCTGGTAGCATAGGGCCTGAGGAGGGAGTCTACATAGCCAGACAATCCTGCTGTCAGGGTGCCAATGCCTGAGATGATGGGGCGTCCAGGATTTCCAGGTTTATGGATCTTGGGTAGCAGATATAATACCCCTGGTCGGGTTCCCAGGGGTGTGTCTGTGCGGATTTGTTTTTGTGCTTTTTCAGGGAGTTTCTTGAGCAAATGGTGTAGTTTCTTTTGGTAACCCTCAGTGGGATCAGAGGGTAATGGCTTGTAGAAAGTGGTGTTGGAGAGCTGCTGAGCAGCCTCTTGTTCATATTCCAACCTATTCATGATGACAACAGCACCTCCTTTGTCAGCCTTTTTTATTATGATGTCAGAGTTGTTTCTGAGGCTGTGGATGGCATTGTGTTCTGCACGGCTGAGGTTATGGGGCAAGTGATGCTGCTTTTCCACAATTTCAGCCTGTGCATGTCGGCGGAAGAACTCTATGTAGAAGTCCAGTCTGTTGTTTCGACCTTCAGGAGGAGTCCACCCAGAATCCCTCTTTTTGTAGTCTTGGTAGGAAGGTCTCTGTGGGTTAGTATGCTGTTCAGAGGTGTGTTGGAAAAATTCCTTGAGTCGGAGACGTCGAAAATAGGATTCTAGCTCACCACAGAACTGTATCATGTTCGTGGGGGTGGAGGGGCAGAAGGAGAGGCCCTGAGAGAGGACAGATTCTTCTGCTGGGCTAAGAGTATAGTTGGATAGATTAACAATATTGCTAGGTGGGTTAAGAGAACCACTGTTGTGGCCCCTTGGGGCATGTAGTAGTTTAGATAGTTTAGGATCCTTTTTCTTTTGTAGAGAAGCAAAGTGTTTGTTGTAAATGGCTTGTCTAGTTTTTGTAAAGTCCAGCTATGAGGAAGTTTGTGTGGAAGGTTGTTTTTTTATAAATAAAGTATGTTAAAGTATAAATAAAGTGCCACCTAGTGGCTGAACAGTATAATACAGGTTAGCATTCCATTACATATCTCCCTTTAAATTCTACATTCCTACCATTTACAAAATTTACACTATCACGGTATCTTTGAAGTTCAGTATGGATCGGTCTGTTACATGTCTATGAATTATGCTAGTTTCTAATTACAATATTTGAAAGCATAACAGCTTAGTCATCTGGCTGTCCATTAGGGGCAAAGACTGGCTGTGGTTGGTTTGGAATCCTCAAGTCATCTTCTTGTTCTTCATCTGTCAGCTCTGTTGGTTTTGCTTTCTGAGGAACAAACTGTAGATGTCGATGGTTTCTGTTGATCTCTCTACTCGTAGTCTTGATCACAATGATCTGGATGCTGAATTATCTTTTCTTGACAACAGCTGGAGTTGTCCATCCTTTTTTCTCCATCCAATTTGAAATGAACACGGTCAGAACCATCCTTTGGGTACGGCGAATCGGGTGACTGCTCTGGACCCCATGCTTTGGGGGGCCCCACGGGCTGGCGTGGTCAGTCCCGGACGTGATGGGTCGGTCCCAGAAGTGATGGCTGCGTCACTTCTGCCCCGGGGCCTACCCCCCCAGGGATGGCCCTGAAGACACTCAACATGTTCTAGACCCGGCAGTTCTCTAACTGACTGTTGTGTATTGAAAAAGTGATCATAAGTTCTTTTTGCCTTTTTATCTGATTTGGCTACTCTCTTTGTGGCTAGTCACTTTGGAGATATGATTATTTTCCAAAGTTGGAATAGTAGTTCTGAATTGTGTTCCTATCAGGAGTTGTGTAGGAGTATATCTAGTAACTGCTATTGGCGTTCATCTGTAATTGAGAAGAGCAAGGAGTGGCTCTTCCTACTGTCGGATTTTCTTGGCTGTCTTTACAACTCTCTCAGCTTCTCCATTCGATTTTGGTGATGTGGGCTGCTAGTAATGTGATCAAAATCATATTTTGTTTGGAATGACTTAAATTCTGCTGCAGTGAATTGTGCTCTGTTGTCCATCATTAGTTATTCTGAAATACCAAAGTAAGCAAAAGTGCACTTCAACTTCTTGATAATACTGTGAAATGTAAGTTCTTTTACGTTCATTTATTCTATGTACCTGGAAAAATAGTACACTACAATGTAATGATGTCCTCTGAATTTGGGTAATTTTTAAGCTAGTCTTTTCCAAGGTCTGTCTGGTAGAGGTGTTTGTACGTGGTATGGTTCAACATTGTCTTTTAAGTTCAATTGTACTGGATCTCCTTTCAAAAGTCCAGTATAATCAAATCCTCCGTTGAGTTCTTCCAACTTTCTCATTAGGCCCATCATGGCTGCCATGCTGGAGCTGAGAAAGTTGTTGGTCTTTAATCCTTTCATCAAATGCACTCTGAATGCAAAGCTTTTGTCTTTGTAAGATATTTCCGTGGTTAAATGACCCATTCAGTTCAGAGTACAGTAACTCCTCACTTAATGTTGTAGTTATGTTCCTGAAAAATGCTACTTTAAGTGAATCCAATTTCTCCATAAGAATTAACATAAATGGGGGGGCTAGGTTCCAGGGAAATTTTTTTCGCCAGATGAAAGACTGTATTTTATATATTGTATATATATTGTTACAGACTCAGACCAGAAGGATATAAGAGAGTAGTAGAAGGCAGGTATATCAGCTTCAGAATGAGCGGGTCCCTGTTCCCTGGAGAGCCAAACAAAGGCTACTCCAGGCTAATCAAGACACCTGATGCCAATTAACCAGTTAAGGTCATTAGGTTAATGCCGGCACCTGACCCCAATTAACTGGAAAAGGATCAGTTAAGGCCATTAGGCTAATGGCGACAGCTGGAACCAATCAAGGTCTCACTCATAC